AGTAGTAGAAGTAGTAGTAGTGATAGTAGTAGTAGTAGCAGCAGCAGTAGTAGTAGTGGTCGTAGTAGTAGTAGTAGTAGTAGTAGTAGTAGTAGTAGTAGTAGTACAAGTAGCAGCAGCAGTAGCAGTAGTAGCAAGTAGCAGTAGTAGCAGTAGTAGCAGTAGTAGCAGTACTAGCAGTAGTAGCAGTAGTACCAGTAGTACCAGTAGTACCAGTAGTAGCAGTAGTAGCAGTAGTAGCAGTAGCAGCAGTAGTAGCAGCAGTAGCAGTTGTAGCATTGGTAAGAGAGGTTATAGCGGCAGCAGTAGCAGGAGCAGTAGCAATTAGGCCGGGGAGGAGGAGGAGGAGTAACAGCTTGGAGCAGTAGCAGCAGCAGAAGCCGAACATCACAGGAGACCTCCTGATAACTCCAGTCAAAAGCTCTCCAAGTGAAGGCTAGTGCACATCTGTTTATGCTTGATGGCGCATGACGTCTCTGACACTTGCCGAAGGCTGCACTGCGCATCCTCATCCTTTCTGCGTGGTAGCAAGTGACGTTTCTGACACTTGCTGCAGGCTGCACTGCACAGATACCCGTTGGGGGCATGTGACTAATGCAACGGCCAGAACCGACTGTTGTTCATGGCAGGGCAAAATGATGCCGGGCCGAAGCACATGTCATACGTTGTGCTTTCTACGGCGGGTGGTCAACCGCCTTAACCCAGTGAAGGGCTGTCGGTTCCAGCCTTGCAGCCTGAGACACCACCAGGGTTCGGTCTCGACCATCTGGCTCCGACTGCATACCGAAGGCCTATACCCGACGAGGTCCACATGTCCCATCAGAATATCAAGGCGATAAGATCTGGCTTAAGCAAAACCGGTTCCGAGAGCAGAGCCAGCGGCCGCAAACCCGATGGGGTTCTAATGTGGTTTGGACCACTGTTAAGTGCATTTTTCCTCGCTACGCTTGTAGGTTCCCAATGTCTCGAAAGCTTCTGAGATGACATGAGTGCAGTAGTGCGGAGGTTCCAATCTGCAGCGACTGCCCCCATAGTTGAGTAAGCATTGCTGGCAGTAGCTGGTAGAAGGACACAAGGGACCTGAAAGCTTCTGATGCTCTGCCCAGAAAAGCGCTGCAAACAAGCTACCGAAACAAAACTCATCGCCTGCCGCTCACTCCGAACGCACCTTCTCTGTGGGATTGTGCTCGACACCCCGCTGCTATATCCGCTTCAGATGAGCCTAGCTAGGCTAGGCCGCTGCGACCATTGAGAGAGAAGTCAGCGTTAGAGCCGAGCATCAGGTAAAAACCAGCTACACAATTGAGAGACAACTGGTTCCTCCACCTGCTTTTTGAAAGCGACCTACTACTCCATCCATGCCCAAGTGTGTCCAAGCCCCCAGGACCTCTGACAATCCACTCAAAAAGCTGCAGATCGCCTTAACCAGTAAGCTTGCGTGAGAAAGGTCCTCTAGGGGCAAAGGCTGAAAATGGACAGGACAGCTTCGGGCCATGAATCCCATGGCCACGGTACTGTCAAGTGACGTAGCCAGCATCAGCTGCATGACAAGCCTACTACAGGCAGCAGACGGATTCATGGTCCAATCCGTAACACAGGTCAATGCCGGCTGCTCGCCCAGGTGAGTCTCAAGCGCTTTGAGGGATGTCCGCCAAGAGTGGCTTAAGGCTAGATAGTGGGGCTGGTACGAACAATAAAAGATTCAAGGTGCGCCGAGGTCCTGGAAACAGCGGCAGATATTGGCAACTCACCGCTCTCGAACCCAACAAGCCACAGCCCCACGACTGAAAACTCAAAATACGGCACACTTGAGGCGGCTCTGTTCGTGGGCAGCTCGATTGCGTGGGCCTGTGGATGTCTCATTCCACCGATCACAGGGCCTTCAGATTTACAATGTCCATGTCTGCACGGAGACCATATGACTGCAAACTCCAGTTCCTCTTTGCGGATCCCTATATTTCTGAAAACAGCCAACCTCCCTGAAAACCGAATAAATGCAACTTCAAGCATTCGATTCGGCCCTCGGGTTCACGAGCTGCTGAAAGCTGCCAGCCTCTTTGGGGGGCAGAGAGAGAAGAGTCGGCTCTTGTAGCCAATCAGAATTCATAGCTCTCTTCCCACAGAGCCGGACCTTGCAAAGCCGAGCTGCACGCTTTCGACCTATGCTCGGTCCTCCAAATCCCAAGTTCCCCCCTGTCCTTCTGTAATTGCGGCTGTTTGCTGTTTGCGCTTGTACCCGTACCAGGGACGAGTTCTGTATTTGCTGAATGATGTACCCAGAGTCATAACCATACAGCAAGCTGTGCAAATCATTGATCCGGAAAATGTGGATTCCATCGGTAGTAGCTCTGCTTGTGTTCGGGTTCATCGCGCAACGAAATCGAAGGCCCGGCTTCAGTTGGGATCCCGGCATCTCTTCAAACTATGCTCGAGTGCAACTGCGATTCGGGACACCAGAGACACGTGACACCCTCGGCGAGAAAACTCGGGTGGGTTGGGCGTGGCGGGATAAGTTGGCAGCAAGATGATCACCACCCGAAAACTTACAAGCTTTTGTCCAAGTTCCCCCCTGGCTGAACAAGCACAGTGCCGGACAGAGTCCCAGTTGTGGGAGTGGTGCCCAAGACCTTCGCAAGGCTGCACGCAGTAGGCTGCTCCGGACAACATGATCTCAGATTAAACTTCCAACATCGCAGCTTCATAACCGGAATCGGACAAGCGCAAGGTTCAGGGCCACTATCAATTGGGCAAGCCAAAGCAAGCCTTGTTGGCTCATGTCCACCTTTCCCAACTCATAAAATTGGACAAACCCTGTGCCCTGAGAGAGGACGAGGCCTTGCCATCGATGAAGCCTCGGGCCAGCGGCAGACGTCTGTTTGTGTACGGCGTATGTTGCTGACAACGCTGTATATCAAAGTCTCAACAAAAAATCACATTGACATGAATGTATCTTGTTCCTGCACGCATGCAAACACACATCCGTAGATGTACCACATGGAGAAAAAAACTGCACACGTCCACATCTGTATGCATAGACATGGGTAGACACAGAAATCTTTTCCCCGGAAAATTTGGCCATACTCATGGGGCCCTACCGTTCCGCGCAGAAGGATTGACTGCTCAGGGGAGTGTGGTAGGCACACCCTGCGGTTCTGACATCAAGATGGACAGGACAGGCGGCAGCCTCACTTCTTAGCCAGGCTGCTGCAGGGCTTCTCCCACTGCTGCACTTGGCCTGACCAGGAGGCCTGCAGCGCAGAATCACAGCATACATAAGAAGCCACACACAATGCTAGGCCACAGTTCTTTGCTGCCTGAGCTTGGCCCGGTTTGAACAGCTCCCCAACCACATTTTTGCAGTCTTCTATTGAAACTGAAGACTTAACGTCATTGTGCCGGCACGATGTTCAGACTTCAGTGCAAGCTGCTCTGTACCGATAATGATACTGGCGAAATCTGCTACCATCTCATGTGGGGTGGTTCGTGCCTGCTGCTGCTGCTGCGACATAGTTCCAAGCGAGTTGAGGTTCTGAACCTCCAAATCGCCAATCAGGTTTTCGCAGCACAAAGATCTTGAGTCAGCTGACATTGATCAAGCAAAACCTCTGTCGGCCTCACCAGGCAAACCGCTCCGGATGAGATAGTGCAAGTGCTTGATTGATGCCGTATGACTGATATTTCATTCATCGCTCTGCTTTCACTGACTGGGCGGTCACATCGGAGCATCGTTCAACCTGTCAGTTCCTACAGCTGGCCGGAGCAGAGGGACCCACGACGTGGTAACAACTGGCAAAGCGAGTCCAAGTTGCCCTTTGTTTCTGGGCGGGCTGTTGAGCTAGGGTTAGTGCTGCTCTTGGGTTTGGGGTTTAGGGGCTGCGAAACCGGCCGCGGGTTTAGGGGCGGCTTGCAGGTCGTCTCAGGGCTTGGGGTTCACTCAACCTTCCATGGTATAGAATCTCCTAATCCCGTCCCCGGGTTCCGGTTTTCTCAGCCACTTGGGGCGGGGAGGATTTAGGGCTTGTCGCTCCTGAGGACTTACGATTAGTTGCTCTTGTTGGTTTCGGGCTCGCCATCACATTCTGCCGACCTGGCTTATGAAACGGCAACTTCCCCCCTCCGCGGCAGTTGAAGCTAATGAGATGGTGCTAAAACATGGGTTGTCTTGGTTTTGCTTTTTGCACTGGTTGTTCTGGAGCTGCCTTGCTATGCTCCAGGAGAGTCGGCTTCCGTCACAGGCTGAAGTGAAGAAAACCCGACGAGCCTGAGCCTGCGATGCAAAGGCAGTCGAGAAGGCCTCGGAAGGCGACGCTCGTTGCGCCATGTTTCTCGGAATTTCGAGACCTTCGGGAGCTGAAACGATTCGTGTCACGAGTCACTACCACATCCCACGTGGATGTCGGTTTTTGGGCACTGGAGCCTGTTCATGCATCAGCCCGTCAGAACACTGCAGCGATGCGGTGATGGTGAAAATCATGATGGTAAGAAAAGATAGTTACCTTTGTGCTCTGGCGCATCTTGTTCTCAAGCATGCTGCATACGGCATCACAAGGTACTCGTAACCGATAGATATCGCGAGTTAGGCAAGCTCCGCAACCTCACGCCTCGAAATCATGGGTCCTGAAAACGGCGAGAAGCAGCATCGCTTACTGATGCCCCCCCCTCAGAAGTAGCAACTCGTCAGCAAGAGCGACAATGGCCATAGTCGTCACCACGATGCTGGATCGTGCAAAGGTTAAGGACACGATGATGAAATCTAAGGGCGAAGATGATGATGAGGACGAGTGATGCCTGCCACCACGATGGTGACGGCGATGACGAGGAGGATCAGGGTGAAGATGACAGGGATGCTGCCTGAAATACTGATGGTGGCGACGAGCTTTTTGCTAGCGCGGGTCCGGTCGTGTCTCTAAGCTGGGCACAGCACCGGGAGGTACTGGTGCAACTTCGAGTTCACCGCCAATCAAAATCTTTCGGCCCAGCATAGATCCAGGCCTGCTCCACTATCCCCCTTGCTGTCCGGCAGATGCTGTGCCCGGGCACCCACTGCAACCCAACAGTTGAGTCACAGTCTGGGCGGGTCCTGTTGTTCGATTCAGGCTAGGGGTTTGGCACTTGTAAAATGCCGCTTCTGCACTAAGAACTGTCAGCTTGTCCACTGGCTTGTAGTTGCCGCAGAAGGGCCTGAGCTGTAAGTTTGACGCTGCACCCAACCTGTGCCTCAGGTCGGAATGCTCTTCATAACTTCTGTGAAAAGCACCGCTTTCTGCTTGCAGGACACGCAGCCGTAGCAGCTGTAGCATCTCAACTCACACCTCTTGGCCGATCGCCTAGCCGCCTTATCATACAGCCCTTCGCCAAAACCGCCGACTGCCCCGGACCATCTAAAGCTGCTACGGTCGGGAAATTCCATGCAACCGTGCAGAGCATTTCGATTATTCAATCAGTTGGGGGCACAACTTCCGAGACTTGAGTCAGCTTGAGAACTACCTGCTGCGGATGCAGAAGTCCGTGATGGCCATGACTCCTCCTCTCTGGTCTCTTGGCCGACCAGCTGTTTCTCGAGATTTTCCGAGCCCGAGCCATGAGCCTCCTAAAGTTTCAGGTATACAACCCAAAGGCATCAAATTCGGTAGTGGACGAACACCAAGCATGAAGCGTCCTACTAAAAACTAGGGGTTGTCGTAGAAACTCTCAACATCCTGACTGCAGGAAGACAGCCCCCGAGACACCACTCCCGCTACGACGATGATGGCTACGACTACTACCACTCTGCTTTCCTGCTGGAGTTGCTGCCACTACTACTTCCATCACTACTCCTACTACTCCTACAACTACTCCTACTCCTACTCCGACTCCTGCTCCTACTCCTACCACTACCACTACGACGACGACGACGACGACGACGACGACTACTACTACTACTACTACTACTACGACTACTACTACTACTACTACTGCTACTACTGCTACTACTGCTACTACTGCTACTACTGCTACTACTGCTACTACTGCTACTACTGCTACTGCTGCTCCTGCTCCTGCTACTGCTACTGCTACTACTACTACTACTACTACTACTACTACTACTACTACTACCACTACCACTACCACTAGTACTCCTGCTGCTACTACTACTTCTACAATACCACCACCACCATCACCACCCCTGTCGGTGCTTGCCAAAATCAGGCCAGCGAGGAGAAGTTCACAATGCTGTGTCGTAGATGTACAGACTCATCTGCAGAAGTCTTGCGGCTTGCAGACAGTGCAAACCTGGTTTCAGGTAAATCGTTCCCTCTGCTGAGCGTTGATCCACTAGCCTCAGTTACAGTTCGAAGCTGAGTTCGACTTGCACTTCGCAGGTTAAACTGTGCTGCAAGCCTGAAGCAGCTTCATGAAACAGGACGCTCAGAGCATCTCAGAGCCAGATCAGGCATTGAGGTAGGAGGTGGTGTCGATCGATGCCGGCATCTCTCCAATATTCACCTCGCACATGGTGGGAAAGTCTTTTGACCTTGTGCTTTGGGCTGATTCCTTCGTGGAGGATTCCTGCATGCCGAGTTCATCCAAGGGATTGCCTACAGGAGCCCCACGTTCTCGCTCACACTTCCGCGTCCTAGCCCTGGTGGCCCCGATGCAGGCAAGGCCAAACGTCGTTCGCCATGTCAGCCGAATCCCAGGACACAGCAGCAGACGGAGGCTGCAAAGTGTGGAAAGAACTCACTGTGCGACTCTGCGCACAAACAGCCGGTCAGAGCACGTCAATCCCTCCGGTCGTGTCCAGGAAACCTCTGCTGCTGTCAACTTCTGATGTGACATGCGAAAGGTCACGATGCCCTTACTGGGCTCTGCAGAGATGTGGAACAATCATCGCAGTCGCCACAATGCTCGCTGTGTTGTGCAGGTCTTAACAGATTTTCATGGAACTTGCATGCAGGTGAACGTCGCTCCGAAACTGCATCTCTATCGGCCAGTGTTGTTTGAAGAGCGAATCTGTGTCCGCATACTCGACAATGTTGGACTCCACTGCACAAGTTTCGTTCAGGAGCTGTAGGCTAATGTGCGAGCATATGCACCTGCAAGCTGCTGCCGACTGATGACCAGCACGTGAGGCTTTGGGGACCAGACTTCACTTGGCTTAGCTTGGACAGGCAAGTTGGCTAGAAAACAAGCTTTCATAAATGATGCGCATCGGAGGATACACTGATGTATCGCTGTATCGCCTAAGCCGACTACCCGACTGGAACACTCGCATGGAATCGCGGTGCATGTACTACTAGCTTCAGAAAGCTTGACTCGAATAAAGAGACTTAAGTCTGTCCAATCTGCTTAGTACCTGTTGCACAAACCCTTGGTACGAAAAAAATCCTCCTCCTTCCCCGCTCTCTGCGAGCCGGTGCGTTCTCGAAGCATCATCCCAATACCCATGGCCCACCACATCTCGTCACGCAGCAATGTCGATATGGTCAGCAAAAACTGGCAGCTGAAAGTCTGTCCGCATCTGGGAGGTCTTTGTTCTCCAACTTTCCAGTCGGAACTCTTTATGAGCCAAAGTCTTAACAATCGCCCCCATTGTGCCATCGCTGAAGCACGGCCATGAGTATCTCACTTTTCTCAGTGTCTGCAACCGGCATCTCCCTTCTGTCAGACTCCAGGATCAAGGCAGTTGAAACGAGGCTTTTGTGGGACTGGCGATCTGTGACTCTGTGACTTGCACGATGTGTTTCTGTTTCTTGCGTGCATCCTCCTGCATGTTGCCACCGATGCCACGAAAAGCATGTAGGTGAGAAGGAGCATGCCTATCATAAATCCATCGACTGACGCCACGATTCGGCACTTGAATCTGCATCGGGGGGAGTGGGCCGTCGCATCGCACCACTGACTGCTCCCTTTCACCATGACGGCATGGTATCGATTCACTAATCTCCGCTTTGTTTTCGCAACCGCTTTGTCCCTGGTGCCCTTCAGGGCGGATTTGAGGTTCAACGACATCCAGAGGTAAACGAGCCCGGAAGTGGATGCAGCAAAGAGCGGAGAAACGCAGCCTTGTGCAGCGATTTGTTCACGAAGTGGCCGACCCTACCCTCTGTCTTGAAAATCCAGTCCGAGGGTAGCTTGCGAGACAGCATTCCAGCACCCCCTCTTCATCTGATATGTCGAAGAAGGCCCGAAAGTCGAACTGTTGGCTCTGCTCTTGCTCTCTCCCAAAACTGCTTCAAAGTCTGAGTGAGCAACCTTAGTAGTCACGGTAAATTGGAAAGGACTCGGCATGACTCAGCAAAAGATCAGAAGCTCAGTACCAGCCGGTCATAAATAATCCTAAGCTGGAATATAGTGGACAAGGTGAACAGTAAAGACTGGACGTGGTCTCGATGACATGATCATCATGCTTGCCACCGGTCCCGTCCAGAGTCCTGAAGCTCTGCCCATACCACGCCATCCCGCCTCGAATCTTTCCTGCACCTTCTTCAGGACCTGACCAGGAGGCGGAAGACTGGTGATGGATAAAAGCAAAGCCAAAGCTGAGCTTCACCTCTTGATCCTCGTCCGTCGCCACGAAGGTGATCGCCAGACCCTGCCGGCAACAGGCATTCCTTTCGTCGCCCAAACATCAACCAAGGGCCGATACCCCTCCCAGTACCGTGCCTTGGTGCCGAAGCGTCCGGCACGACCGACGCGATGGAGGTAGGAATCACCTTTCAAGCGCTTCCCTCACAGAAACCAAGAGCATGCTTAAAGGCAGGGATTGAAACGTCAAGCAAGCCTAGCTAGTCAATCAAGTAGGCAAATTATTGCAACATGACAAGCAGAAACGTGAAGTGACTGCCCCGCCATGCAAGAAGGCTTTGTTTCTTCGATGCCGACTTGTCTGGCCGAGTTGCTTTCGTCCGGCATGTCATAGTTGATAACGATGTTGACTCGCTCAATGTCGATGCCACGCCCGAAGAGGTCCGTGGATACCTGGAGAAAGGGATCAGATCTAGAGCACGTGCTCTCCCAGCCTGCAGCTCAGGTCTCAGGGCACCATGATCCGCTTCTGAAACTCTTTGAACTGCTTATACCGAGCAATGCGGTCCTCAGTCCAGCACGGACCGCGAGCTGCGAACCGACCTACTGAGAAGATTTCAGTGGCCATACACCAGCTCTGGCCAGGTGTCTTCCTGTTGCAGGCCCGAGTGGATGGCAATAGAAGGAAAGTTGCATTCGACCTTAGGCTGCAGCTTCGACACTCAGAAAGGCAAGGACACATCTGGCATTAAGCCTCCGCTATGTGGGATGTCGCAAGTAAGCCTCATGGGCACTGCCAGGATGGGCCACACATGAGTAATGCTTACGGGGGCTTAATGGGTCTTGTTCGAGCTTTTTAGTCACGACCGTGCAAGCCCTGATAAGACCTATTAGGCTCCATTAAGCCTCATGATCAAACCCGTACAGTGGCAGGCTCAGCTTTCAGCATACTAGTGCAGGTAGTACTATTGAGGCGCTCGCTTCAGCTTTCCAAGGCTTGTTGCCAATTCCATGGATAAGCCCTCTTGGGCCCATTAAACTGCAGAGATCGTACCATCCTCTAGAAGACATTGCGGTGTTGCTCGTCGTCACTGCACCAGGTTTTTTCATGGCCATGTCACCAGCAGCTTGTCGAGCGCGATGGCCCGTTGCACCGACTTGACGAAGATAACGACCTGCATTTGGTTGCTTGGCGGGTTGATGCGTTGGTGGGTTGGGAAATTGGTGATGTCGTGTCGGGTTGGTGATCTTCGTGTGTCGGTGCCGCTTGGTCTGTTGCTCAGCTGAAAAAGGCTTGCCGAGGCCTCGAGAGACAGCGAACCCATGCGGCCATCCCGAGAGATGAGGGTAAGCAGAGGATGAGTCGCATGGGATCAGACTATGAGAACCTCGAGTCTCGAACGAGTCCTTGATGGGTTGTTCTGGGTTTCGCTGGCAAAGTTTGAGATGCTACAGCCTGGTTGAACTCCAGGGCATCCAGCAGGTCGTTCAGCTTTCGGTTCTTCTCCTGCACAAAACGATCCGCTTGGCGCTCAACGAGAAGAAGACGCGACGTTTTGTCAGCAGGCAAGCATGTCAAGTAAAACCCTGCAGAAGGCTCCGCGACACTACAGGAGCCGGTCGCAAGGTGCAACTGCCACTCTCAAGAGTGATCGTTGTCTCCTTCTCAGTGAGCTTCACGTAGTACTGGAGAAGGCCATGGAGCGTAAGCTTCGACTCTTCGTCAACCCGGATCTCGTGCGGATCCTGCGTGTGGTGGCGCTTTTAATTCACTCTCGATGAGAATGAAAACAACCATAACACGCCCACTTGGACCGAACCGTACTGCTCCATGCCCTATGGCAGGGAATCAGGAATCTGAAGTTCCTGGCCTGCATGAACTTTTTGCAAAGAGCCCGGGTCTCTGCAGACATCGTCGCGCTGAACATCATGACCTGACAGGGGAGTAAGCAAAAGAGCAGCCCTGACATGCCACTGCCCTAGCTCTAGCCTCAGCGGTATACACAAGTCGGGCTTCAAGGCCCAACAGCACCATCGGCTCTACGAAGCCTGACCGGCCCTCCCCTCCGCGACCCTCGCAGTGCCTGCTTCTTCTTGGGCGTCTCCATGAAGATCTGCTGCACATCCTCCCGAGACCGAGGCTGAGAGGCCGAGAGGCTGACGTGTGGCTGTCGGCTCCTTTCGCATGTCGACTTTGTCGAGGCACTTGTCACACTCGTCCAGGACAAACTGCTGGATCTTGTCAAGCTTCAGGTCCTCCCGGCAACTAAAGCTACCATCCTGCTCACAGCTGTCCTCCACGAAACACACGTCAGCCTGCGCAAGCTCATGAATGGCAGCTCTGAAACCCCTTGGCAGGCTAGGGTTCTTTTCGTCCGCTTGAGCCACTTCTCTCACCGTGCCGTTTGTCTCGACCTTGTCCATGATTCTCAGCCTGGCAGGCCGCGCGAGTACAAAGAGTGTCAAGCAATACTCATCACCTGGTCCAAATCTCTGCACTACAGAAAAGATCTCTTTCGCTCAGCCGTCTTCCACACACAGGGGTTTGTGCAAAGCTTGTTCAATGCACAGCAGCAGCTTGGAGCTTCGCACTTCTTCCCGTAACCCGACGGCACCACGACAACAGTCCTAAAAGAGCAAATTGTTGCCGCAATCATACTCGCAGCTGCTAGACAGTCTTGCCAGTCAGGTAGACAAGGAGACTGCTCGCGGCCTGATGCTCTGCTAAAGGATCTTACACGCTCTGGCGCCACCGAGGCTAACCCTGCTTTGCATCGCTGCCATACGTTCTACTCTGCTGCATGAATGCAGGTTTCTTTTCTGTCATCTTTGTGTGCTCCGTAGAAGACTTGAAGGGGAGGTCCGCAAGGCTGTTATCTTTCATCTCTCCTCTGCTACACATCTTTGCCATGCATGAGGGACGTCGCAGGCCCCTCGGGCCCAAGGCCCAAGCCAGCTTCGGCCAGTTTCAGAGGAGTGAAAACCAAGACACGATGCACGATTGCCAGGCTACAGCCAGAACGTGCGCGATTACGGGCTGTCTTGCATGCCTCACGTTTCTTCTTCTTCCCTTTCTCACCCTGCCTTTTTGCACCACAGCCAAAGAACTGAGGGAACTTGCTGCAATGTGCCTGTATACGCCGAAGCTATGTTGAACGTCGCCCCAACAGTCTCTCTCCCACCCTGCCCGTTGCACTGTGCAAGCGGCCAGCCACACCCGAATCCGCCTGCAGGCCCTGTGCAGGCCGTCCCGGTAGCTCTATGTCTATATCCATCGCAGACAAAGCCTTTTATGTTTTGTTCTATCTTTTTCCTGGTTGGACCTCGAAGAGAAGGTTGACGAGAGAGCAAGCATGCAACTCAATATCTTGCGGCTCCAAAATTGAAGGCCAAGAAGCAAAACCCAAGCATCCAGCGCCGCATACTGGAGCTGCTCTGCCGTGAGAGGCCTGTTGCGAGGAAGAAAAGTGATGCTCACATGGGGTCGCAAATCGCCACAGGTTTTGTCGCTTAGGTCTGTCATGGATCAAGCGGCCCAGTCGCTGAAACGCTCTCATGGAGGCAGGGTTGCTGAGGTTGCTCCTCCGGCCTTTTTAGAGGAGCCGCAGCTTTTCTCCTGCTTCGAAACGCCCTAGCAGGCCTGCAAAGGCTGAGGGCTGCGACCCTGCTCAAGCCCAGCGGGTGAGGGTGAGGCCGTGAGGCTGACATGTTGGTACTCGTTGCGCCGTGATGCGCACGCCCCCCGCCCCCCCTGTTCCCACGCGTTTGCTCACCGGCTCACCGGCCTGCACTTCGAGACCTCGTCTTTAGGGAGTCCGTTGCGATTGAGTTCGCGTCCGCATGGGATCCTCTCCTAGCATGCTCTGTTGGACGGCCCTTAGCCTCAAAGATGCGCAGGGCTTTGGCCAGAGTGATCGTAGTTGTGGTGTGTGTCGCTGTGGTTGCATGTTCTAGATGAGAAGGTGGTGCCAGAGCCACTAGGTTCTGATCACACACCAGGCCTTGCCGACCAGTCGGAGACTTGAAGGGACTTGTCCAGGGGCTTTCCCAAGAACTTCTGGGCCTCTCCAAACAGAAATGCGAGGCAACCTGCGCGCACCATGCCCAGGCGCAGCCCGGCGCACCAGCTTCGAGAGCCCAGGCAGCTTCTTCTTGGGCCCATGACCGCGCTGGACGTCCCGGAACTGGGGCCTTGGAATCTTGCGGGCACAATGCTGGGATTCTCAAGAAGAAGCACTCACATTTCCAATTTGTGGGAAAATGGAGCGGACAAGGCTCCGGAGGTCTGCAGCCATGCGAAATGCCGGCGCTTTGGCCACCATTCCTCATTCTCCCGAAGAGTCGGAGTCACAAGAGGTTCGAACATCTCCACATCCGTCGAGCTGGACCCGATTTGGCCCAGGCTCGAAGATCATGTCGGCCTCCGAAGCCAAGGATCCTCAGGAAAAACACCAAGCCGTGCATCACTCTGACCCGGGTAAATGGATAACGCATCCCGACCCAAGTCCACGCACCCGTAGCATTGCAGAACGGAGAAGACGAAAACGGCCGCAGCATCGACTGTACGTGACCAGTAGAAGCAAAGAAGAAGAGAAGGATCCGACCGACTACAGCACACCCCTTAGAAAGTGTATGCCACATACTCACTGATCTGGTTCATCTGCATGTGTGATGTGTGTATGATGTGTGTGATGCGTGTGCGCGCAATGGTATCTGTCCAAAGTGTCGCTTTCGAGCACCCGGGGGGACCTGGAGGTTTTTCTATTTCTGGGTGCCATCGGCCAGAAGTCTTCGAAGAACGAACTGGTGCTGGCAACGTAGTCTGCGGCCCAAATCTGGGAGCTTGCAATGTCCCATTTTCAGTTGTGTGGACTTGTCAGGGGTTCATCTCATGCTGTACTGCGCCAGATATCGCCAGATTTGCTTGCGGCATCTGGCCATCAGCGAGTCGTGAAATAGTCTATGCGGTATGCGGGTCACGTGTCTTTGACTCCACAGACGCTATCTCGGAAAACACCGGGCTTGCAGGGTGCCATGAGTAATTTCGCTCAACAATCGCGAACAGTTCTTTGCGAATAGGAAGCTATTGTTGGCAAATCATGTCTGAAGCACACGGCGCTCGTCAGAGAGCACACAACATTCAGATGCGAAAAGACTCGGCAACCCGTGCCTATAATGTTGAGTACCAGTAGTTGGAGGATGTTGAAGGCGAAATTTTCCGGACGGAAACCGCGGGGATGGCAACCGAAGAGCGACGCTTCGACTGTATTGCTTGAGACGCTGTTGCAACAGAATTCCGTTACAACCGTGGAGCAGGAAACAGTGCATACAAGCCCCACGGGACCGCGGTTGCCCCTGCTTGAACCGGCAAGAGGTGCTTCCATCAGTCTGAGATGACGGTGTCCATCCTGGAGAACCGTTTGCATGAGGACCGTGACCTTTGGACAAACAAATGGCTTGCCTCTGAGTGGGGACGTAGTGTTGTTACTGAGCCCGTGCTCTCTCGGACAAACCGAGCGAGGGTGCGCGATGGGTACTGAGAGGTTGGGCGGCTCGCCCTCACTCAGCCTGCCTGATTTCCTGCGAATGCTGAGAATTTGAGAAAAACTAGTCCAAGCATGACCTACAAAGCACATAGGACAGGAATAAGGAGCAGCAAGGGAAGGAGCGGAGCCATTTTCTGACATAAGAAAGGATTAAAACGATACAAAACAAACTTATGAAAGAGCTAAGGCACTCAAGCCCATCTTGCGTGAGGAAGTCTGCATAGGCTTCCTGAAGCAACACAGTTCAAAGAGCTCAAACAGATCTGGGTGATATTGGTTGGATACGAATACGGGGGCTGTGTGCAATTTCGGGTCACAGATCCACTCTCTTTTCACTGGATCGGTTGCCCGTGTAGCTCGGGTGTGAGTGTGATCCTTGTTCGACCAGGTCTCAGCAGCTTCTGCATCGTCTCGGAGCGCGAGGACGTCGAACACAAAGACCTCCTCATTCAATTGCAAGCACCCATCACGGCAGATAGTAGTCGAGCAAGCCACTGCTGTGCACACCCGTCGAGTCCTCTTCTGCAGCAAGTTGCAGCAGCGCTGCCTCAAGGAGGACGGCTATGGGGGGACTGTGCTTCTCGGCTTTGAGGCCGGCGCCTCCTGGCTGCCCTCGACGTCCAGGCCCACACGCTGGAGACCGCGCAGACGACCAAAAGCTGCCCTGCGAGCGAGTGCCGTGTCGCCCTACCAGCATTCGCTTCAGCCCTAGAGCGGGCATAGGATATGCCGGCTGCTCTCTGCAGGGACTTGCTTGCTTTTGTTGCTTTCCAACCACGGACAAGTAGCTGAGCTGCTGCCGTGGATGACACGAAGGTGACGCGCACACCATCAGGGAGCCGGAAGAAGGTTTTCGCACGCTGCGCCTGACCGGAGTTCGTCTTTCCGACACCAAGTATTAAGCCTTTCTGCGTCGGTCGCCTGCAGCTTCCGATGCTCCGCCGTGGGGTGAAAGGGCAGCCACCTGTCATCTGCTCGAGTCTTCGGAGCTTCATTGGGCAGATCCAGGCTTGTGGCTTCCACTGGAAGATCCGGTGCTCTCACACGCGTGACCAAACCCTGGCTGTTCCTCCAAGGCTGCACCCTGAAAGCCTCAAGTTGTGAATTTGATGCATGTATCACCAGGTCACCAAGGCACTAGGTCACTAGGGCCCAGGCCAGTTGCCGGCAGTCTGCTCAGCAAGCGAGAGCAACCCTTCCTGCAGGCTTGCATGAATCTCACCGCACAATAAATGTCTGCAAGCAGAGTGAACCAGTCAGAGCATCTGCATACATAGATACATACATATATAGACAGACACACATACATATTTGTATAGACACGCATAGATACACATCTAAATACTATCTATGTATGTATTATGTATGTCTGTCTGCATGTATGCACGTTTGCTTGTAGGTAATATATACATATATAGACATACATATATATGTATATATGTGTGTGTGTCCATACATGCATGTATGTACGTACGTATGTATGTATGTATACAACCGTATATTTTAGTATGCTCTGTTACATCACATTACATTACACACTGCGTGCTTTGATAGCATCATATGTGTCACAATATATTTTCATATGTTATATGGTATTGTCTTGTATTCATCGATATTATATACAATACGGGTGTATCGATAAGTTAATCTGATTTTTCACGCTCTGTATATATACAGACATACATACCTGTGTACATGTTTATATATACATATGTATAATAAGTATTAGTCTGTTTGTACTATCCTATATCATATTATATTGCATCATAATATGACATTCTGCTCTGGTATATCTATAGTTGTATCTGTGAAGTTATAACTTATTGTGCCATATCATACTATGTCATATCGTATTTAATACTACATTATACGTATTATATGTGTACGTATTATGTGTGTGTATATGTATATACATACGAACTATACCATACTTATCTGAAAATACTTATCTGCAGTCATGCACAGGTCCCACAAAGTTCGAACGCTTAACCTCTGAAATGCAGCTTGCCAGCAATCGCTATTTTCCATTCTTCGGACCTGCAACCCACTAACCTTGTGACCTTAACTTCTGAATGCTGTTTGGCTGGAGATCCTCGGCCAGAAGCTGAAGGCAGCACATGCGAAGCTCTTCACTGCCTCCGCATGCAGCCAACGCTCCTGACGCGTGCCACTGACGACCGCTACTTACCGCGCAAATACTGCTATGAGTACTTCAACCAATACCATTGTACGACGACAGCAGCGGCGACGATGATGAGTGCGACCATGACCATAACTGCTACTGCCACCGCCACTCGGCGACGACGCTTGAAAGCTATGAGATTCTCTGCAGGCCCAGGGGCGTGTAGGTTTTGCCGACTGAGCTGCTGCCCGGATTCGCAGGATAAAACACTGAGGAACCACACTGAGCGTTTCACCTCGAGAAGACCAACCAAATTTTGACACGCAGCTTACGGCGTACGGGTGCCATGTGTAGCGAGATTGTAGGCATCGGGAACAGCTTGAGATCGGTTACTCTGAGTAGCTTATATTCCTGCAGATGCTGATAAGCAAAACACAGCCACCATGAATCTCTGTGTAGAAAAGATCTTCACGATAACCTGCAACAACCGATCTATAAGCTTCTAGCGTAATGACTGCAAGGATCCATCCGCACGGTGCAGCCATCGCAGTCGCCGACGAGACTTCACCGACACGCCCGTGACGTTCAGGACGCCGACAAGCGAAGGAAAGGCCTGATCTGTGAGGTAGGCGGGAGGGAGGTAGGGGACTATACTTCCTTACATAGGCCTTTTTGGGTCCTTATTATGAGCATTAAAGCCCCCAACCCCTGCTCCCCCTACCCCACTAAGGATCCCCATGGCAAAGGCATAGTGCCTGCACCGTACAATAAACTTGGATGAAACGCGCCTGGACAAGGTCGGACAACACGTCCCAAAGGCATGCTTCTTGCGCCTGTGGAAGGCAGGAGAGTTGGCATTGTCCGAGAAGATTTTTGGGACTACATCCAAACAGTGCTTCGTTTGCACACATGACACAGCCGTAGATGGGAAAGGATTTTGAACTGCGAAACTGCTGCGCACAAGCCGCGGCGCAGCGTCTGATCCGGTGAGGCCCAGCAAGCGATCAGGCCTCCCCGGCCAAGATCAATGCTTCGTCCGCGCTGACGTCAGCCTCACGGATGCCCCAGCCTGAGACAGGTACGCTGGTACGCCAAAGAGCCAGTGAAGAATCCTCTCGTTGCTTCTATGAATTGTGGCGAGCGCAAGCGGTGCAAAGGGCGTACCTAAAGAACCGATGCACAATTATGTTTAGGAACACTCATACTGACACAGCCGCCAGTGTTTAACTTCGCCGCCCGGCCACACAGATTCCTTCTGGGCTAAGACTGCGAAGGCACGAGGCTCGCCCCAGTTGGAAGGCTCCAAAAATTTAAGTTGCGAGCTGCTGATCAACCGTGATACCAGTACTACGGCCATCCACTACGGCAATCCTGCCACAGCTGCGCCCCCTTTGCCCAACAAGTCACAACGACCGTCCCAACATGAAGACTACAATAGAGATAGAGCAAACATAAACCAGCATTCCCCCGAATACTCGCCAATATAGCATGTGTTGCGACACTGGTCAGAGAGTTTTGCGTTCCGAGATTTGCACGAGGCTGGCACAATCAGCTGCAGCCAGAAAAAATCACAATGGCACAGCTGAGCCGCGAGCAATTATCCGCACGGCCTCCCAAGTAGCTCTGAAATTTAGCAAGGATTGCGAGCAAAAGCTTGCCCACCGGCGTATGACCTTTAGCACCACTTCTGTGTGAACATCCGTCAAAGCTTCTTTGAGACTCCAGCGAAGCTTGATCTGCAAGCTCCTCGTCTACAAAAGAGTATCCACAAGAAGCATGGAAAGATGCAGAAAGAATTTACACAGCTTGCAGTCGAAGATGCAGACTCGACGATAACGGACAAAGTCTTGCTTGTATCTACACGACAGCACATCAGATCCTCTGCCAGGCGAGCGGAAGCATGAGAACCCTCAGACCGAGGAACATCAACACCATGCCTGATGATTGTACAGTAGCCTTGAAGGACCACATTACACTACACTGCTACACCCCATGCACCGTGGAACTGCTGTAGGCAACCTGTCGCAGGGCCCTCGTGGAGGTGCGCCGCATGCTACGCTCCGGGCCGCGCATGACCACCTCGAAACAGACACCACGAAAGACTGACAAGAATGGTACGCAAACGATACTACCAAGACATGCTTCCAAAATGCCTCCAATCCAAGGACGGGTAAGCACTGCATACCGAATGGCTGCTTCTAGCATGTTACTGATTCGGCTTTACGGCACATTGAGCATCTCGAGTTGCCCCAACTTGTCTCATCTTGCCGAGGCAACTAAAGGCTCCTTTGTGATGTTGCGGTGTAAGGATCGGGCCCGCAGGAGCGAGCCTTTTATATACCCCTTCTGTATCTAAGCGTTCCTTGGTTCCCTGGTGCGGCGATGGGCTAGTACAATTATAGTTTCGGCTCCCCACGACTGCAAATCCCTCGATAAGGTTTGGGAATCCTTTACTCCTACACAACTCTGGTAGAGTTCTGAAGGAATCATAATTGTGCCGCAGAGACTTTGTGAAAACAAACCCACATGTGTTGACGACGCTGACCCCTCGAGGGCTGGGTGTGGGTGGCCACCCTTACACCGAAGTAGTTTGATGCAAAATCCTGTAGTGTGACAAGACTGCCGTTACATTCCTGCTGACGGCTCCCCATCACTCCAAAGGCCTGTTTGTTCGGAATAAAGCATGCAAAAGGAAACTCGCGTTGCACGAAGACCGTCCTTTCAGTTTCCTTCAGGATTTGCAAACCTTCAGGACTCAGGGTTTTGCAGCAACATGAATTTCACTTGCTTCAGTCTTCACAGTGTCTCCCCCGCGTCGGGCTCGAGCAACTCTGCTATGTTTGAGAAAGAGCTAGTTTGATAGGGTCTGTGTTGTTTCTTGGCTTTTGTATTCTTCTTCTCATGATAAGCAGACGGCCTGAGACTCCGTGCCGGCTGCATGCAACTTGAACGCGGCTGCACAAGCACGCCTACCTCGGGAGCAATGCTGATGCAAGCATCGATGCTGATACTGTTCAGTCATGCCAATCATGAGCCTTCCGAAGCCAGTACCTTGCCCTGTGGGCCACGCAAGAACTGCAACTCTCGAAGCTGTGTTTCGCTTACCTATCGTGTCGTGGCAGAGGCGATGGTGGCGGCCATAGTGGGGGTTGTGGTGGTCGCTACTACTACCACTGCTCCTACTCCTATTCCTGCTCCTTCTCCTGCTCCTGCTCCTGCTCCCGCTCCTCCTGCTCCGCCTCTTACTGCTCCTGCTCCTGCTCCTGCTCCTGCGCCTCCTGCTACCACTACTAACACTACTAACACTGCTACTACTACTACTACTACTACTACTACTACTGCTACTACTGCATGAGGGCGGTCGAATGAGTAAGCTTGACTGGACTGGGATGCAGCGCTGCGTGACACGTACGTGTGCGAGTGTGTAGATGCACTTGCTGCAACGAACAAAATGCACCCGATCAAAACCTGTTGTCCCGACATGGAAGATCTTATTGTAGTTTCGCATTCGCGTGCATGGAGTGCTCCAGGCCGGAGGGTTGACAGGGAAATGCTGCCAGCCGGCGCTCTTGCACGGTTGCGCCGATTCGCGCCTGCAGTCAACAGGCTTCAGCATGGAAGTGCTGTTTCTGCAAGTTCCAGTTGAAAGCAGGACGCAACTGGCAATTTCATGCTGGATCTGCGACGCTTCTCGGGTTGGTAAGCAAATTTTGTGCCCGAGCTCGCGGTCACCGACAACATGCTTGGCTATTGCATCCTGCACGAACCACTGCAAATCAATGCACTCTGAACCCACGAAGCTCTGCAAAGGGTTGGAGTCAACAGAGGCAGACAAGACCGGGCCCGGAATCCCTCGGACTGCCGAAGCCCGGCACCTCCACAGCGCCCGAAATCAGGGATGCCAATGCCGCGGCTCCGGTGCTGCACACAGGTGCAAGGTGGCTATGCTGTGACTTGTTCAGACTCCCACCGCGGGAAGAGGTGGCGCGTCGAGAAGCTCCAACACGGAGCCCTGAGGTCCTTGCCCGGGCCGCAGCACGCCGCCCACGACATCCGGCTCCTCCGCCAGAAACTCCAAGCAGCACAAGCCGAACCTAGGCGGGAAAAAAGCGATATGCCAAGAGCTGGAGGCGAGACTGCAACAGATCTCTGAGGCGAGTGGCTCGCGGCGCTTCGGCTCTGCGCCTAGAGCCTCGGCTGCCGAAAGAAAGCGCCGGCGGTCCTCCAAGTGCAAACGTGGGAAAAAAGGTCAGAAGGGAATCATGGAACTGAGTCAGTGTCAAGCCCCCAACAAGTTCATGTCAATGTCCTCTCGAATCGTCGCCAATGCGGCGACAAATGCCCCGGGTTCCCGGGGCAACACCAGCAAGGGCTTCGGAGTGCCTGAAAACGAACATGTTCGGGCTCACAGTGGACATTGATCCGGTTTTCGATCGGAAATTGGAGGATTCCAGGAACTCCCCCCCCGGAATGTTTACACTTTCTCACTCTGACGTCTGGCTAGGGGCCTAGTCTGTTTGGAGGAGCCTCCGGAACTCTGGAGCAGAGCCGAAAGACCGAAGTCTCAGATCACGAGCTACCAATCGCTCTTAGATCGGTCGCCTGATGCCCAGAGCGCGAAGGCAGCAAGCGCTGTGCCCACAAGGCGCCGCATGGGGACGAAAGCCCATCAGTGTGTAAAACACATCTAACACCCCTGTCTCCATTCACGAACTTAGGGCATTAGGGAATAGGGCGCAGGCCGCTCACGTCATGTCTGCACTATATCATGCCTGCCCGATGCGGTCTGAGCTGAGGGCAGATGACATGCTCAAAGCGCAAGTGGAAAGGTTCCTGGGCTTTGCCTCCCATCCGGAGCACTGAACCCTCCGCGGCCCTTCCGGCTCCTTCTCCCGGAGGAGTGCCAAGACTCGGCCCGGTGTACCTTGGAGGCAGTGCCCAAAACAGCCCTTGCACTCGTCTCCGGAACCTGCACTGCGACTCCTTCGCTGCGATCCCGTACTTCGGCAGGTTCTGCACAGGCCAAGGCACCAATCAAGATATGCGGGCACGAGTCCTGGCTGAGATGAGACACGAGGGCACTACGTGCAAGGCAAAGCATGTTGCTGCTTTGCACCATTATATCGGTCGCCTGGTGCTGACAAAATTTCGGGATTGCTTTCACATCGTCACCATCGCCCGACACTTCGCCTTAAACTAAAAATCCAGCCATGGTTTCGCCTACCTGACCCGAAGGGCGAGACTCATGTCTGCTATGCAGAACCACCCGCGGCACTCGTCCTTCAGGAGATCCTTGTCGTTCTGCATGGGGGTGCCGCCGTACACCACAGCAGTCTTGATCTCCTTGGCCGCCGGATGCCCGTGCCGGGCCCGGACCCCGCCGGACCCCGAACCGAACCCACGTCAATTTCCGGGCCCGGCGGAGAGCTCCGCGAAAGCACGCTTTTAAGACTGCTGGACGCAAGCACGTTGTGATCGCTCCATCGGGCGGTGGATTTGGGGCTCCGGTGGTTATGGCATGGCGTTGGGGTCACGATGGATCGCCGTGCCCTCATCAAGGTGAGCGTGAACGGCCAGAAGGTCGTGGCCGTTGCCACTGGAAACTGGAGCAGACCACGCCGGGAAACATGCAGGTACATGTACACAAACTGTCTCGTACTAGTGCAGTTTGAGGTGCCAGTGCAAGGTCTACATCCTGTAACACAGCACCTACTCGAGTCTTAAGCCAAACGCCAAACAATGATTGTAGGGCTTATGTAACTGTAACTTTTGCACTGAAAGACTCTTCCGAGTTACGACAAATCGACACCATTCGTCCTGGGCAAAGCAGGCATCCTAGACAGCATGTCGCTCGTCTCTTCCAAGCTGCTGGGAAGTACTTGGCGAAGCGCTCGAACTCGTGCTTGATCTGGTACCTGGGCTCATCCAGCAACTGCTCCCTGCACTATCAAGAAGTATGCTTTTCATGGCAGGATGCGCCAGCTCGCGGGTGTGGCAGATCACCAGAGTTCGAACGGCCTGGGACTCAGATCGGACCACATGACATGAGCCCCTGCCGAAAGACAGCAACGAGAGCGGCAGGCCTTCTCCGATGAATCGACCTGCAGTGGGGACGTATCGGCGGAGGGCTATCGTCTCTGGCACTCAATGGTGGGCCGCATGCTGAAAGCCATGCGAGCCTGTTGCAAGCAGGCCAAAACAAACACCGCGGTCTTGCCCATGCCGGACTTCGCCTGCCACTTCGCACAACAGCTACCCACCTCTCTGCACTCTTCTCGACATAATTTTAACTTTAACTCTGGCAGATTTCCCGCATCCTGGCGACTCTCAATTCCGAAATGGACTACACCCGCTCCTGGCACAGCACGTCCGTTCCGAGAATAGCCTTCGACCAGATGTGTTCTTGGCGCTTCAGTATTTTGGAAGACAGTGCCATCACGACAACGGTTCGGGATTTCTCTTGCAGGAGCTGACATCTGCGGGTGCTGGTCTGCATCTAGGAGTGACTTGCATCGCCAAAACCTGGAAAGCAACCAGCCCGGCACGATGTAAACATGCAAGATGCCTGATAAGAACCCTGTCACCCCACCTGTGGGATGCACTCGTGCTGCACCTTCGGTCAAGGTTTGCAACTAGGAAGGCAGAGGAAAGAGTAAAAGTCAAGGGATAGAGACATCGGAGATGGGTGTGCAGAGCACAGCAACAGCACCGCTTGGCACCTCCGAGGGGTGCTCGAAACCGCAATCCACGATGGCACGGATCAGCTCGGCCCTGACAACAGGCACACTTTGCAAAACGCTCCGATGATACTGGGGCCAAGCAGTTTAAGCGCTGGTCGTGAGTTTGCGGTAATGGTTGTATCTTTATCACAACACAGTCAGAGGATGTCGTAACAAGAACCAGCATGTCTGCAACCCGACGACTGTGAAAGAGCACGTGCAAGACCTTACTTTTTGGCATGCTTTTAGCTTTCTGAGGGCGTGGTCGAAACCATCAATCTGCCGCTGCGGCAAAATGACAGAAATTCTGGCCCTGAACCACTGGGGCACCGCACTTCAGCAGGAAGTCCTTGAAGCCGGAAGCATGGAGTGTGGCCTGGTTCTTCTTCGCCTCGAGCGCGCAGAGGAATGCAGACAAGAACGATGGTCGTTCTGAGTACTTGTACGCTACGTCTATGTTTACGAAGGGGCATTGTTCGATATCAAGAAACCTGGCTTGGTTTTGCCTTTCCCGTGGTGTGTGGCGGTTCGGACAGTGAACTCCAGTTAATTATCCATCTAAATCTGGTTACCTATGTGCCAAGTTGAAGCATACATGTACATGCAACAGTCGAGACAATCCTTTTGAGCAAAGACCTTCTTCGTCTGCACACCCATAGGCCCAAAGAGTGATTGCACGCGAAACTTGCTACGGTGAGTATGAACATGTACAATCATGTGTATGTGTATGTATATATATATATATATATGTATATTAATATTTGTGCATTTATTTATACATATATATATACACACATGTATATGGTCACATCCCCCATGATCCAGGCGAGTCTTCTTGTCAACTAGTCCTATATAACGTATGTCACAAAATACAAGACGCTTACTCCTAAAGTCAGAATCTATCAGCATTTACGGTGAATTCTGCACTTCATGTACATATCTACCTGACTTCTTTATTCCTTTATATCATAGGTAAACAAGCCGCAACCGAAACCAGATTCTGGTTCCGGATTCTGATTTTGTCGAACTACTTAAGATGTACAGGCTGGATAGATATAGCTTCTTTTCTCTTCTCTTCATACTATAAGTTATAAGAAAACTCCTTCAGTGAAAACAAAAACAAAAATATTGCTTATCTATACATAAAACAAAAACTAAAGCCTGGCTCCTCGTAAGACATGGAAAGGAACCTCCGCGTATCTTCATGCTTCCAGGGAACCTAGGACAACTTCATATCTTCAACATTAGAAAAGACAAGGGAAGCTTCATTGTTCTTTCTCAGGTGGTGCTGTTTTCTTACCTTGTTTCATCACCAAGCAGCACAATACGCCACCTTAGCCCTTTATCAGTCGCTGAAACTCAGTGGCTGGAACTCAACGAGCTCTTACTATCGACCAATCCCAAAAATCCTAGCATCTATGAGGAGCGGGGTGCCATATTTGCTGAGATGTTCTGAATTTTTGGGAAATTGGAGCCTGGCAATGTTTTCGCACTTCCAGCCTCACATAATTTTGGGGAAATTGGAGCCTAGCGGTGTTTTCGCATCCGTTGACGCCAAAACATCGCCAGGCCCGAAATTCCCCAAAGTTTGCAAAGCCTGAAATGCGAAAACCTCGCTAGGCTCGAATTTCCCCCAAAAATTTTCAAAATCCTAGCATCTGAGCCGTTCGGGGCCGTAGTTGCTGAGACTATTGGAATTCTGGGATATTTTGGAGAAAGTGAAGCCTGGCGATTTTTCTCACTTCCAACTTTGCAAATGTTAGGGAAATTGGAGCCTGGCGATGTTTTCGCATCTGGGGTTGCCCACCTCCCATGATCCACTGCTTACAAGAAGCAGGCTTGGCTGGATCATGGGGGGGGGTGAGCATATACATTTTTTATGCAAGCATACTTACATAAGGCATGCACAAGTGCAAAGGCAAAGGTATCGCATGGACAATACATGCATATATACACGCACATGCATACAGACTCCAAGACATAAAGGCATACAGGCCTACAGAATCATACAGACATACAGACAGATGTATACATACATCCATGCATGCATACAATACATACCATACCTACCATACGTACCTTCAATTCATACACTCATTTACTGAACCATACCTTCATGTAAGCATTCGTCAACTTTCTGATACACGCGTGCATGCAGGTACACAAATGTACGTACTTAGCAAATCAACCACTTACAATGTGTGCTTGTGCATGTCTGTTGTGCCCATTGTTTCAGGACTAAACATGCATTTATGTATGCATATATGTACATGCAAATTTACATGTACATATATATATACATACATGTACACATACCTATATATATATATACACCGTATACACATTGGTTATAGGTATGTGTGTATACATATATATGTATTATGTATGTATACAAATGCATATACCTCGCCTCTGTGCACATATCGATCTGTACTGTTGCCCACACCTGTGTGTGTATGCTTGTGTGTGTGCATGTGCTTGTGCTTGTGTGTGTGCCTGTGCTTGTGTGTGTGCGCGTGCTTGTGTGTGTGCGTGTGCTTGTGCTTGTGCGTGTGCTTGCTCGTGGGCGTGTGCTTGTGCGTGTGCCGTGTGCGTGTGCGTGTGCGTTTGCGGGTGCGGGTGCGGGTGCGGGTGCGGGTGCTGGCGCGGGTGCGGTGCGTGAAGGTGTGGGTGTGGATTACGAACGAAAAATCGTCACACTCACGACGGTGGTTGTATTTATGTACATAGCGAAATCAGTTGTTCAGAGACAACGTAGTCGTCGTAGTAGGAGGAGCAGAAGGAGTAGCAGCAGCAGTTCTTGTAGTAGTAATAGTAGCAGCAGCAGTAGTGGTAGCAGTAGTAGCAGCAGTAGCAGTAGCGGTAGCAGCAGCAGTAGCAGTAGCAGCAGCAGTCGCAGCAGCAGTCGCAGTAGCAGTAGCAGCAGCAGGAGCAGCAGCAGGAGCAGGAGCTCTAGCACTAGCAGTAGCAATAGTAGCAGGATCAACGGCAGCAGCAGCACCTGCTGGAGTAGTAGCAGTAGCAGGAGTGGTAGTAGTAGTTGTTGTTGTAGCAGCAGCAGCACCAGGAGGAGTGGGAGTAGGAGTAGGAGGAAGAGGAGTAGGAGTTGGAGTAGGAGTAGGAGTAGTAGTAGTAGTACTACTACTACTACTACTACTACTACTACTACTACTTGTAGTACTTGTAGTAGTAGTAGTAGTAGTAGTAGTAGTAGTAGTAGTAGTAGTAGTAGTAGTAGTATTAGCAGCAGAGTGGCTTGAGTAGTAGAAGCGTCAGCACTATTAGTGGAAAAGAAGCGAATTGGTAGTGGTAGTTGTGGTAGCGGTGGTAGTGGTGGTAGTAGTGGAGGTAGTGGTAGTGGTAGTAGTAGTAGTAGTAGTAGTAGGAGGAGGAGGAGTGGTGGTAGTGGTGGTAGTGGTGGTAGTGGTGCTAGTGGTGCTAGTGGTGCTAGTGGTGGTAGTAATGGTGGTGGTGGTAGTAGCAGTAGTAGGCGTAAAAGCAACTCTTGCTACAACCAACTCTTGCTGATGTTGCAGCCAAGGTGGTAGCAGAACAGCTGCACGAGAGATCATAGGGGAAGTGATGGTGAGAATGCCGGCACTCCCTGCCCCTCCCTCCCCTTCCTGGCCCCTTCCTCACCCCTCGCTCAAAATCGTCCGACCTCGGCCTCCTTGCTCTCCTCGTTCTTCGCGTCCTGTCTAGGGGCAGCCGATGTCCGTTGTCCAGGAGGGGTGTAAGGCTTAGGGCTCAGCGGCTTATGGATATTTCCCAATTCACGTGCAAGGCTGAAGGTCTGCTGGACCATGCTGCGTGCTATCGTCGTAGTTCACAGCTGTAATCCTGCAATGCATGTTGCTGCGTTGTGATCTCTCTGTGCTGCTACCTTCCTGAAGAATAGGCCCTGAGCCAGCATCAGACAGACAGGCAGGCACTCAGTCAGGGGCAAGAGAGAGATAAACTCAGCTGTTGCGCGAGCAACGAAGATGGAAAGAGGCAAAGAGGGGGCACGGAGCTCCCACAGAAAGAGAGGCGGTGGAGTGATTGACGACGCCACTTCTTGAGTTTGTAAATCCGAAGAGCTCTGCCTCCTGGTCGTCGAAGTCGGGCAGATCGTCCTGAAGATCCAACTGTATGCAACTCTTATACTGCTATGTCTCTTTTCGGCGCCTTGGTGCCTCCTCTTGCCCACTGACCGCTAGCCGCTTGCAGCTCGAAGAAGGCATGGTTTAAGGTCCTCCTTTTCAGCCATCCTGAAGAAGCTGGAAGAGGCGTCCGAAGGCGGAGGGAAAGCGAAAACGGGCTGCGGCCAGGCAATGCTTCCTGTGGAGCAAGACAGACTCGCGCAGAACTCTCTGAAACTTCGCATGGTCGGACAACCTGAAAGAAACTGACATCGAAGGTCGCTAAAGATCCTAGAAAGCACAGGTCCAACAGGTAAACACGAGATCTCGTGCGCAGGAGAACTGAGGTCGCGACCGGAAGCCTCAGAGCAGCACCCCCGCAAAAACATGGAAACTCGTGGAGTTGGCCCAACTTGAAGCACTCGGAAGCTGGAGGAAGCAAAGAGAAATACAGAATGGGCCGACAGGCCGGAAAGAAAAAAGAACGAAGCCGTGATGCCAAGTTGAAAACGGCAGAGACTTCTCACGTGAGCTAAGGGTCATCAGTGCAAACCTGCTAATGATCAAAACAACACTTCCGAATTATCCGAGCTCGGGAGCATCGAAGAGTTCGCCAGTTGCTGAGAGAGTTGTGACTGTTGCACCTGTCGAGCTGCAGTTCTGCAAAAATAGGCGGGAGTGCTTGAACTCTGACTGCAACGAGCTCTGAAGTTGCACCTGTGCTCGCTCCTGTAGCAGCCGGTACTGCGCCAGTTGCGCCGACCTTACCGATTCTTCTGGAGCCGCGGTGGTGGTGTTGCCACGTCTGCTCGGGCGGTTTGGGTATACCCACTGCAGGTTTGCGTCGGGTGCTGGGGTGCCTTTGCGTGCCTCAGGTACCTCCAAGCTTCGTCAGACAGTTTAGGCCCAGGCCTAGGCGGGCCTGGCCTAGCCTGTGCTTGCTCATCCAAGCGGCAGCAGATTCGAGGTCTCAGCAAACGAGGCAGCCTGCTGCATCCTTGGATTAGGAAGACATGCTCATTGGTTCCTGGTTCCAATGAAGACCGCTAGCCGCTTGGGAAGAAGAAGGGCCGACCTCCAAAGTAAACTTCAGGCAAGGCTAGAACAGCCTCAAACCTCGTCGACTTGACCCTTCTATGCAGGCAGACGTCTGCGCAAGCTTCTGTTGCAGTTGCAGTCCATGCCGTCCCAGGGCCTGCAAGTCGGGCAGTCTTCAGTGCAAGATGTCAGACGTGTCAAGACCCCCCACCACAAAGACACTTAGCCTTTGAAATCCATCGAAGCCCAAAACAGCACAAACGATCTGCGAGCTAAACTTCTTACAGGCCAAGCCTTCTTGCACCAGCAACTTTCCATCATGGGGGTGATCCAAACTCCCAAAGCCGAACAATCGTCTTTCAGTGCAATTGTGATCCTGGTCCTGTGAACAAGACGCGGGGAACGGTGCAGACCGAAGCTTTTGTTACCAGAGTTCAGGGGCATGCAACTCGACCAACACTCCCCAGTCCAGGCTCCCTGAGCAGGCCTGTTGATAGCGTTGCAACTCCAGGAGGTATTGCTCATACCTAAGCGACAGATTCCCTCCAAAAGGAAAGGCACCAGTACTGCCAGGTAAGATCTGCAACGCGTGGGGTCCAGCACAAAAGTTGTGTGCATCTCTCCGTAAATCCTCTACAGCCATTTCTTGGAGACTCCGGAAAGTGCTGCTACGCTCGTCGTGGACAGTGCTGTCGACACCAGATATCATGACCATCCCGCCTGCCAAATTACCCAAAGCCCAGAATGCCAGATTGCCTGTCCGAGTTGCATTTGCTGCTCCTGAAAGTATTCTGCAGCCCGAATCTGAGCTGAGGTCACCTGATTCGGAAGCATTCGGTTACCAGCGAACACACACCCTTTTTGTTGCAGCATAGAAACCCGAACTGCACGTGCACGAGTCATACCGGACAGTTAATACCAGAAACAGCGATCATACTACATGGCTTTCACATATGGTAAGTCCTTTTCGCGACAAGTACAAGTGCCAGGGCTGCTCTGCGTCTGATCTCTTCTCCAGCTATGGGAAATGCCATGGAAGGTTCACAAACAGCCTGGCAAAGCAGCAGCCCCAGCAAAGCAGGTGGCTCTTCGCCCATGGCCTCGAACTGGCCCGGAGGGCCCACTCCCCGAAGCGCCTCCACCCAGGGCGCTGCGGAATCGTCCTGGCTTCGTCTGAACTCTTCCGCTGTAGACAAAGCAAGTTGTTTGCCTCTGTGAAAACGGTGACTACGGGTGGATCTGTCAGCCAGCAGGCATCAAAGCCCCTCGCCCTGATAAGAGAATCAGGAGCCGGTGCCACGGACGCAAACATGGTGCTGGGCACCCGTCGATTCGTTTTCCCAGACCCTCGCACTGAAAACACTGCTCTTGCCGACATGCACCTGCCTGACGGAACTTCGCTGCCTGCCGTGTGTCTGGAAAATCGCAAGGGTTCTAACGCTCGGGTCAGTGGAAGTATCGTGCGTGGGATACACTGCCGTCTCAAAGCTCCCCTCGAAAGTGTGAATGAAACCCTGACCGGAAAGAACACAACTTACGCGTTTCTCGAAATTCATGGACCCTGAACTGCAAAACATTTCAGGAAGATTTCGAGCTCAAATGCCAGGATCATTAGGTAGTTGCTTCATGGATGGCTTTTTCTGAACTTAGGGGACGTCTGGTTCTATGGCGTTGTACGAATACTTGCAAACGCGTTTGGACATCGATCATGCCACTTGCGCATGCTAAGTGCAACCCGCTGGCTCCCTGGCTATATGCCCCCTGTGAAACCTCTGCGGCCCAGCGAATTTGCGAATGGACATGGTCCTCCCAGGCCTTGGGCAGTGCTCGCAGCTTGGGGCTCAAGGATTCAGACTCGTTTTTGAGAGGGCATCCATCCTCACGAAGGGTGCACTGTTTGCCAAAGGCCTCACCTGAATTTAGGAAACTACAGAACCAATGATGGCATCTCACAGTACTCACTTAAAGCCAGCGGAATCTGCGCTACCATCCGTTACCACCTCTGTTTGCACTGCACGCGCACAGTGCAAGCCAGACCCAGGCAGAAATCTTACTGCCTCTAAGGCTTCGACAGTGTCCTCCTCGATTCCGCCATTGCTGCCGACCTGGAAGAGGGATAGAGAGAGAAAGAGAGAGAAACACCGAGACAAGACAGAGAGAGAGAGAGGGAGACAAAGAGGGAGGGAGAGAGACGGAGACAGACACACAGACAGAGACGGAGACAGAGACAGAGAGAGCGAGACGGTGACAGTGACAGATATCAAAGATGACAGAGGAAGGCGTGACTGAGCCAGAGAAATGAAGATGAAGGAGAGCCCTGTGAAAGGTTGGTCTTCGCAACCGGCTGAACGACCTGACACAAACAGAACTTCGTGTGGATAGCCCGAACATGCTCTGCTTCTTCATGTCACTGGCACATATGAATTGCAAAACTACCCCAGAACCTCCGACTGAGAGGACGAGGGCGTTCCAGTCGTCACCGACCTAGCAACTGAAAATGTCACAGCAAATTCGCTGCCACCCAAAATGCTCGGGCAAGATCTCATTCCTCACATTCCTCATGCATTCTGGATGGTTCTCTTTCAGGCGCGGACGTCACGGAAAGCTGTGGGCTTGCTTGTGGCACCGTCGCAGCCGCCGGTGTCTCAGCATACTTTTCCTGGACAGCTGCCCCAGCTGCCACCCCCGGCAATGAAACAGGTTTAGTTTGAGAAAAACTTTCCTTCAAAAGCCTGACAAAAAACCTCTCGATGGTCCAACGGCCTCTGCAGCCCGCCGCTGCACTGCAGCCTTGGGGACTTTTGGGACCGGCTCTCGCAAGGGAAGATGGAGAAGCTCAGAATCCGCCTTCAGGGCCTCCAATGCCCGCTCATGCAGCTCCTCTGGTGCGGCGGAGCGATGCGCACATGAAAACCGCAACTCTGACACAAACCACCACTGCCCGCTGCCGCTGCGCTGCCGCTGCCGCTGCTGCTGCCGCTGCCGCCGCTGCTGCTGCTGCTGCAACTACTGCACGTCCTGCTACACACCACATGATGTCATGCAGTCCTCTCGCCGCTCCGCCTCAAGCTCTGAGGGAGCTGCCTCTTGCACCACCTCACAAACAATTTGACTTCAGAAACCCACTGCGCTGACAGAGCTCATGTCTCCAGCAACTCTCAAAGTTCAAGGCTACGCGGCTACCTGCCCAAGTCGGCGAAAGGTGTTGAAGCCCAGGACGGCGTTGATGTGTTCCTCGTGTTTCGTTGCAGGTCGTTGCAAGCCACGGCATTATGTCTTCCCCGTTCCTTCTTGACCCTGAGCCCCATATACCTGGAGTGAGCAACACAACTGCTTCTTTTGAAAAGGAAACGACCCAGTGCCCTGAACTCGAAGCCTGAACCGTAAAACTTAACCTCCCCTTCGTGGGGGCTGCAGTCCTGCACAGACTCGGGCTTTGCCTGACGTCAGAGGACGCTCAGTCAAACCATAGGCCTAAAACTTAGAAATCAAACAGAACTCTTCGCACCAGAGAGGCAGATTCCCTTCAGCGTGCCTCTAAAATCTCCAGACACCGTGGTTCCGAGGGGTCATCCAACGGTGAGGCGACCTTGAAATTCTGCTCTGCTTGGGCTGCGCAACACATGATTGGCTTTTCTGCAACACAGACGGTTGGAAATTGCATGAAGGAGGCTCTGAGCCAAGGACGCTTGATTCCAGGTCGCTGGCAAGGATCGGAACGCTGTCGAACTTGTCTGTCCATAGTTCCTGGTGGCTCGGCACAGCCAGGAGATAGAACACACCGCCCAGACAGCCGGGGATTGATTTCATGCAGAGACAATGTAAAAGAGCAAGATCGCGAGCCTCGGGGCCGGAGATGTCGATCAGCGGGGGCGGGTATGGCCCCAACCGAAGCATGCCCTAGGTCGGGAGTCAGGACCAGAGCTTTGCGCAGTGTACTCACATGCGAAACGAATCAAGACACCTACATCCCAGTCACCGGACTGCTGCAGTCCTTCGCAAGAGCCCACGCTCGCATCCGAGTGGCCGTTGCACGTCTGGTGGGCTCAACTCCCGCGCCCCCCCTCCGCCCCTTTTTGGCCAACGAGTTTTCGTCTAACTCTGAGCCGAGAAGCAAAGATGAGCATGACATCCTGAAACGACCTGCCCTTTCCTTTTGGGGGGGCCTGTTAGGGTGATCATGGGTCCAATACAGTTGTGTGCAAGTGTAGCACAACTGAGAGCCTCAGCCTGCTGGTCGGCATGTCTGCGCCCAGCTACCACGAGTCATAACATGTACCTATGCTGTACTTGCTACACACCGCGGCCATCAAGTCAATAGCAGACCCACACAACTCGGCCTGCTAGCCGTGGCCTGTGCATCGTCGCCGCTGTCACACGCAATGCCCTGGCTTCACGCCATGTGGCTCAAGCACATGCGGAGCTTTTGCATGTCACATACACACGGCAGGGTGCAAAGTGCTTCTAGTATTTCTAACAGAAAGAAGCATCAAACAACATCCATGTCCTTCCAGCATCTCTAACTCGAAAGCCGAAATGACCTCGATTCTGAACCTTTGAGGCTTTCCCGCAAACTTCACAACACAAAGACTGTGAACCAGTGTTGGGCCATACTGTGCTGGCACCTCAAGTCCGTCGAAAGCGCTGGCATGAACCTTGGGACTGAAGCTTCAGCGCGACAGGCTCACGCGGCAAGAGCTAAGAAGTCTCAGCTCGGCATCTCCCAGGCCTCCAGCGCCTCCTTTTGGTACTGATGCTGCCCTGGCGAGGCTCTGGCTGTAACATCACGACGAATACAGCCAAAACTATGGGCTTGCACGGGCGCAGCAACAACCGAAGCCGAATACACGTCAACAACAAAAAGTCTCGCCAAGTCCTCGAAGAGCAAAATTCCCCGACCAGGGCTGCCGGACGTTCCGGGCCCAGCTTCTCCCAAGCCACGGCCGCCTAGAGTCATCTCATGCACCCCGACGGTCACGAGTGCTGCCGAAGGGTTGAGGTGTTCTGAGCATTTGCTTATGCACCTGCGTACCCTTAGGTGCCACGCCGCCGAACTCAACCTCGCGCGGTTCGGCGCTAAGAGATGCAGCCTTGGACCAAGAAGGAACAAAATGGCAGCTTCGATTAGGCTTCTGCCGAAAAGATCCTTTGATCTGAAAGGCCAGGAGCTTGCTGCGGGACCCTTGCTGGGTAGCCCCGCCCTGACTGTCGTATGAGCTCCGTCCTCTGCTCACGGAAGAATCGGAGAAATCCCTGCCAGGGGCCGTCACAACACAAACATCAAGCTCTGCTGTCTAGTTTTACCGGAATCATAGGCTGTAGGCTTGTGGCGAGCAAGCCAGGCGTCATGCTATGCTCTAGGCTGTAGCACTCCAATGCCACATGAAACCGTGCCATTCTGAATGTCCCAGCCGCATCCTGACGAGAATACCGTGATGGAATGCTTTTGCTGGTGGGCTGAAAATTTACATCAACATTATGTGCTTCTTTGGCCTCACAACCTATCCACGAGACAGGCCTCCACGGGAAACCCATCCAGCGCATCCTCCTCCGAGGGTGTTCAAATTGGAAGCGATCAATGTAGTGTTGAGAGATACAGCAACATGCACGGGTTCTTGGGACAGCAGGCATCTCTGCCACAAGGGGAAACCCCATCAGACGGCGGGTAATCCACGAATGCGCGCACTCCGCTTCCCGCAAACTTGAGAAGGCGCAGTGAGCCTCCTGACAGTGGCTGCGATCCATGGCCTGCGAGACGTTACAAGGGACAACGCCCCACCAAAGCCCGGGCCGTGGCCTTGGAACCATGAGCGCAAGGGCGCGGCGAGTCAAATTCCGCAGAGCACAGGCAGCAAGCTGCAATCGTACAGCAATGGCTGTCGAAGGTTGCTGCAAGACTACAGACTAGCTGCGTCGTCTAGGCATCGCGCTGGGTCCACATCTAGCCGTAAGAACCCTGTGCTCACATGAAGCAGTCAGTGATGGCTCGAAGCTGGCCAGACCGGCCGGGCGAGGTAAAGGAGAAAGCAGCAGAATCTGTCAAAAACCCAGATGTCACTGCGACTCTTTTGCTTCATCGGAGTTGCAACTGCACCTACATGTTGTGCTGCGGTACAGAAGCTTGATGCTTGAACACCGTCCGAGGAAACCTGCCCTAAGGCAGACTCAAAGCTCCTGGTACGGTAAGGTACATCTTCATTGGTTTCCCTCCTGCAGGGAAATCTGGAATCGGTTTGCAGCAATACATCATGGGCAGTGGAAACTGCAGAAAGCTGGGAATATTACCTCTGGCAAGATCGCAGCTTCAGGCATTGCTGGAGGCGCTCCATTGCCAGTTTCAGCCCGCAGCAACACCGGCCAAGTACCAGACAAAGATAGAACGTCTCAACTTCACAACTATCCGAGGACTCTATTTTTTGTATCAAATGCCTGGCAAGGTTGCAAACATGCTGAAAACGATGTTGCTTTCTGCTCACGTTGAAGGTGAGACGCCTCTCACGCTTCGGGGCGTGTCAATGTCTGGGTGGTGCAGGCATGGGTCGAGGGCTCACATGTCAGCTGCAGCTCGTGCTGGCTGCGCTTGCTTGGCGCGACAAGCATCTCCTCGACCTCTGGGCTTCGTGGGATGGTTCCCCAAAGCCTGGCTGAGCATCATTCGGGGAACCAATTCTGTGCAGATCTGGGCGGGCTATGCAGCGATTGCTGAAGACGACAGTGCAGTCGAGAGGCTGCGGAAGAATACCTTTAAAGCGCTTGGCCTCAGTTGTCACATTCCTCAAGCATTCCTTCAGGTTAAGGCGGCACAACATGTTAGGTGGGTAGGACATAGTCGCTCGTGAATAACCAAAACAGAGCACCTCCACCATTTCCAGATTGATCCAGTCCAAGTGTGTGTACTTGACCTCGCAGGCGCATCATCATGCAGAACAAGCATTAACTCCTTTTTTGGGAGTCAACTTGGGAAGCAGATGCCTGCTTGCCGATGTCGTCTGGGAATTCTGCTCCAGCGTGGGAGGCATGGACCATGAAAGAAATCGAGTCGCTCCTGGGCTCAAACACGAAGACCGGGGTCCCAAGCTGATTGCGGAATGGCTACACACGGCACATCCAGGACAGCTTGCATCTGAAGAGCTCGACCATCACAAATTCCACCTGGAGTGTCACACCACAGAATATCATCGGTGTGCAGTTGGGCACTCACTGCTGGACTCCTACCAAGGCACCAAAGGAGTAAAATGGACTCGCGGGGGGTGGTAGACACGAGCGCCCACCCCGATCTTCACTTTCCTCGGCTGTGCGTGAAAGGTCAGTGGCACTTCGTGGCAACATGTCGCATTGGTTCTGCTGGGCTGTGACGGGCTGTGCGATGTGATACCCAACAAAAGTAAGCCTGCACAAGCCGAAGGTCCCGTCAGCAGATCCGAACAACTTCTGAGAATGTCGACGCAAGCGCTTGCCGCCCTGCAGTCGAATATCCAACCTAGGGACACAAGGATGATCAAAAAGAGGCAAGACCAGCGGTTCGATTGAGGCCAGATGCTGGCACCACTAAACGCTCTGGACGCATTTAAGCAAACACAAGGGTAATGGTAACGAAGTTCGCGGACAAGCAGCTGTCTGAAGTCACCTGCCCAAACGAAGCTCTGTGCGATGTACAAGTGACAACAGCAGCCCTGACCTTCTGAGAGCAGCTGACACTTGAGCATAGCAAGCAAGCAAGCAAGAAGCGAGCAAGCAGGCAAGCAGGCAAGCAGGTAAGCAGGCGAGCAAGCAAGCAAACAAACCAGCAAACAAACACACATGTACGCATGCACACCATGTGCCTACATGCATACGAACATAAAGAGCCACATCGTAAGCATACAGCTACACAGGTACGTGGGTGGGTACATCGGTACCGGTACATAAGTACAAACATGCAAACAAAAAGTATACATAACAGACAAGCAGGCATGCATGCAGACAAACGGACAGAGAGCCAGACAGAACAACTTACACAGACATACACCAGTAGACATGCACACAAACAAAGAAAAACCAGCAAACAGACTGATAGATAGCCACGCAGACACATACTTCTGCAACAACGTCATGCATATGATTACAATTGCACCCCAACAAGATGCTCATACAAGCGCTGCCTCGGCTGAAATGGCTCCTGTTCATGCCGGGCTCCGAATGACGGACTCTGATGTCCACGAGCTCAGTACCACCTGGTGTGGTAACAACCTCGGATGTTGTCAAGTGCAGTTGTGCTGCGGCAGCAAGATCAAGACCGAGAGTCCGGCGAAACGCTCGAACCACTGATAGTCCAAGGTCGGACCCTGGAAAGTGCTAGCCCAAATGATCATCTCGGGCGTCTGCAGCATTGGCATGAGCTTGTAGTTCGGGAACCAGAACTTAATCTTCTTGCCCTTATACCATGTGATGGGGTCTCCAACCACAGACACTGTGAAGCCTCCACTACCGTCTTGACTGAGCACAACCGGCACCGTCACCTGGTCAACGTTCGATGACACCGAAAAGCTGATGGAGCCAGCAGGAGCATTGTTGAAAGACGCTTGCAAGCCACTGTCCGCTGTGATTGACGTGGAGACCGTCGACCCTGCCGGGCAAGGATTTCCTGGGCTTGAGGCATCCTCGAGGAACAGAGTCATACTCAAACCATCGGCCGCGATACTGGCGCCCGTCACGTCGCAAGTGCCGGCCAACCTGCGCGGGCCATCACGAGCTTGCAAGCGTCTTGCTGGCAGAGTGGTCGAAGTAGTTGTGTCGTTCGCGTCCGATGTGTCCGAATCGAATGTAGTCGTGGTCACCGTGGTAGTCGTGTAAGTTACCGTTGTGCCACCAGCTGATGTGAACGTCAAGTTGACCGGGTCACTGCCACTAACCGTAAT